GCGCCCTGGTGGCCCTGCTCGCACACGGACAAGGGGCTCAGGGCAGCTCTTCCTTGTCCTCCCCATACTTAGGCAGACGCCCGCTCCAAAGGACTTGGCAGCAGGATAGCAGGAGCCCTTCTGCTGCAGATAACTCACTAGGAGCCCCAGGGACAGCGCGGCCCGAGACACGGCGCGGCCCGCAGTGCTCACCCGTCTTGTAGATCTCGTAGCGCAGGGAGAAGCCGGCGCCCTGCCGGGCGTAGTCCGAGGTGAACTTGATGTAGAGCGCGGGGCCGGAGGAGACGATGGTGGGAGGTGCGATGTTCCCGCAGTGCTTGCCCAGCAGGTCGGCCGCCTCGCTGTCGCCGTCCCGGATCTCGATGAAGTCGTACCTGCGGGAACGCGACACGGCCATGGGAGCGCCCGCCCGCCCGCGGGCGCCTCGCAATGCAGGGAGCAAACACAGGGCCCCTCTTACACCTGCACACGCCACAAAGCCACATCCGGGCAGCTCTCTGGGACTGCCACCCCTGTGCATCTTTCTCTTCTGGCTGCATTTAAGGCCTAGTCCCACCCCCGCTCCTCACATCATTACTGCACGTACATCCACTGCAGTCTACAAGGGTTGGGACGCAGCTCCGCTTGGGCCCGGCAGAAGTTCTGTCCTGTGTGTCTCTCTGATGCTCTGCTGTGTCACTTAGCACGGCTCCAGCAGCTGCCACGCCACGGTCCCGCTCATACCAACATCCAGGTGGCATTTGGCCAAGCACGTACCAAACAGCATGCAAAAAGTCGATGTCAAGTCAATAGGAGTGGGGAGCTATTTGGTGAAGCACCATGAGGGTCCTGCAGCAAGTGCTTGGGCAGCAATCCGACCCTCTTCTACAAGGCGCTAACTACAGATCTGGGTGCCTTCTTGCTCCCTAAGTGCCTGGTATTTGCGCTTGCCTGTCCCTTGCAACCGTCACCGTGAGGTGCCTCTGCTGAAGGCCCCCGGAGGCTGGTTTGGAGGAGCTGCCTCTTGGGGATGCACGGATGTGCGTCCCACTGGAATCAGGGCAAGGCCTGTGCCCCATCCCATACCCCTCACCAGGCTCCGGGGCTGCCCAGGCTGCTCCCCACTGCTGCTCCACACGCTGCTATTGACAGAAACTGCCCCTTGCTCCTCTGCTGCTTGTTTTACTTTGTGTCAACCCGCTGGAGCGGCAGGCTGCGGCCCCTCTCGCAGGGACAGGGATGGGGACACACGCTGCAGCGCTGCCAGAGACGCCCTTCTTCCGTGTCACAAGATCTGCTGCTTGGGAGCGAAGAGCCGAAAGCAGAAGTAGCTTGCGGGGTACAGGGCGATACTTGTGCGCCTCATTCCCGGGCTGCGGGCCAGCAAAGGCGGCTTCCGTTTCCCTCCTTCCTAGGGCTAAGCCTGGCTGAGGGACAGAAGCCAAATGCCCCGGATAAAACTCTGCCCGTGCTGGAGCGGCGCTGAGCTGGCTGCACCTGGCCAGCCTTGACCGTGGCCAAGCCCGTTGGGTCCACAGCCAACACGAAGCCTTGAGGAGCACTCCAAGGAGAGGGGCTGGCCCAGGAGCCACGTTTGGCATCACCGGTGGGTGGAAATACAGCGGTATCAGCCAAGAGCTCTGGTCCCTGCCGCTTCCTCGTGCGCCGTGACCCTGTATTACCCCGACCCCGGCCAGCAGCGCCCGCGCGGCCCTGCTAACATCCGTCACGTGCGGCTCGACTCCGGCTTCTCCCCAGGGAGCAGGAACACAGAAGGCAGAGCCGGTGCTTCCCCCGAGCAGGGCTGTCCCTCCGTGTTTGTCTAGTTGCTTAAAGCAGCACTGAGCAAGCAGCAGGGACGCCCGGTCCTCCGAGCAAGGACTTCACCTCGCTGCACGGGCAGCCCTTCCCTCTCCGAAGCGCAGGGCCCCGCTCCAGGACTACCAGCAACCAGTGAAATCCTGGGTTTTTGGCAAAAAACAAACAGGAATGGTGGCAAAACACATGGGTAACCTACTGGATGGTGCATCCCAAGGAAGCACATCTGCTTGTGTCCTGGTGGGGTTGCACCTCGCCAAGGCCACGCACAGCTTCAACCACTTGCCCGCAACGAACTGAGCTTCTGGTGTAGCCAATGCGCAAAACAACCTGTCACTAGCCCTGTGGCTCTGAAACCACCCAGTACTGCAGAACCAAGAATTATTTGCTTATTGAATGGGTGAATAACTTCTAATAACACACACAACTTAGGAATATTGCAATCTGCCCATGGCCTATCTGCAAATGGAAAATGAAGGGAATGAATTGAGTAAGTAATTCGTCAGGAAATATTTGCCTCTCTCTAAATTAAACCCTGCTTGGCGTCATCCAAGCATCTAACTGAGCTTTCTTCTACTGGAGCTAATCCTTAATAAATCAAATGTTGCAAACAACTAAAGAAGCCCCTAGCAGAAGGTCAGGGAATTGTGTTTGCCAAATGTGAAATGAATATAAACATGTAAGAGTTTTCCAGTTAAGAAACCTTGGCCCAAGCCCTCCGTGCCTCATGGGGCAAAACCTTCTTTGTGTTCCTCCAGGTCACGTAAACAAGCGGTGAACTGGGACAGCACCACGGCCAGGAGAGGTCTCCTATCCAGCTGCCCTGCAAGAGCACCCACCTCCTCTCCAACGTACCAAACCGAGCTTTGGGTCTTAAAAAGAGCCACCAGAGACACCCCTGCCCATGCACGCGCGGTTTGGCGAGCACCGGCTCGTCCCCACCGCGGGCTCTGCTGGCGGTGCGTGTTTAGGTCGCCTCCACGTGTTGGCCCACGATCAAACAAGCTGATTAAGCCCCGTCCTCCTCATGTTGGGCCACCGGCCATGGCCAAGTCCAGCTTGGCCAGCACTTTGCTTCTGTTAAGCTTCCGCGCCGTGTCCAGATTTAGCTCTTCCCATGGAAAGCACAAGAAGGGAAGTTGGAAGGGAGCAAGCCTGACCCTCTGGACACCTCCTTCTCCATCTCATTCCCAGGTAACCACAGCCTGGCTCGTGGCCAGCTGGGACACTCGTGTGGCATGGGAACTGCCTCCACCAGTCCCCAGCGACCTGCATTGCTCTCCTGTAGCCCAACTGTTCCCACATGCTCGCGGCGTGACCCGGCGGCGCCACCTCCACGGGAGAGCGCGCGTCCCGGGGCTGCTTCTCCTCCCCGGCACGGCACTGCTCCGCGAGACAACCGCAAATACGAGGGGGCAGCGTCCAGAACCCGACACGAGGTCAACGGAGGCTCTTGCAGGCAAGGCCACCACAGCTATTTCCAGCTGCTGCCTGAAGGAGCAGGCCGGTCAAACGGTCTCAAACAACCTCAAACGAGCGCCGTCTCCACCAGGGAGTTTTGAAGGGGGGAGGCCAAGCTAAAGTGCTTTTAACTACCCAGGCGGCGGGGGGATCAGAAGGGAGGGGGCCCAGGCTGCCGAGACGCTCCTCTTGGAGCTGTTTAACGGAATTAAGCGGAAAAACGTACCGTGCTTACAAATATTGCTGCGTTTTTATTAAGGATTTTCAGTGGAAAGTGCTTTGCTGATGTTAAGAGCGCTTTTATAAACTAATTACAAAGCACTTCTAATGCCTGCATTACTCATGCTTGCCTGCTCGCTTTTTCCTCCCGTCAGCCCGCGGCTCCCCATCTCCGCGTCCTCCGCGCTTGCTCCGGCGGCTCCTCTGCAGTCCCTCTCCACGGGGAAATGGCTTGGATGCTCCCTGGCCACCTGAGCAGCACAGGAGAGCCCGGATTGGCACCTGGGGGGCTCTCCTGCTTCCTGGGCTCCAATCTGAGCTTCCCCAGCGTTTCATTTGGAGCCGTGTCCGCAGGCACTTCCCTGGGAAGCACTAGACGTGTCCTTGCAAGATGCCGGTGGGTGGGAAGTGCAGAGGAGCGGCCGCCGGCCCTGGGACACGCGGGAAGCTCGTGGCACAGCCAGGAATAGAAGCCAGCCTCGACTAGACAGGTTGTGTTATGTTAGAGGAGCCTGGCCTAGGCGGACAGACAAACAAACGGGGACTGACGGCCTGCCAGGCCAGCAGCCCAAAGTCAGGGATGCCCGGAGCTGCCGAGGCCACCGCGCTGCCCGGGCCACATGCTGCCGCCCCGGGAAGGCTGGGCTGGCTTTTAAATACTGCTTTTTCCTCACAGTCATGGCAGCAGAGGCAAACACACCTTTGCCATGTGATGAAACCGGAGCAATGAAGTTTGATCTGAGCAGCCAGTCCTTAATCAGGATAATTAATTACAAATACAACGGATAATTCAGAGTCTCTTCTGACCGGTTTTACACATGCGTAACGCATCATTTTAAGGGCAATTGCTCCTAATCTGCACACGGGTGAGAATCAGTCCTTGCAGATGTGGATCTGCAGCTACAGATCTGTGCAAGGCCTAACAAGCACGTTCTGCACCTATTTTAGTGAGCTGAGTATCCCCTGGGCTACCCCTGCTCTTGGCTGAGAGCAGCAAGCTCAGGAGGGGAGCCCTGCATCTTCTGCAGTGACCACAGACGTGGTTTAAATCACTCTTCTTGAGGGAAACACTGAATTTTAGGTGGTTGAAGCCAAAGAGATGAGTCTGCTACATGCAATTACATCTTGAGCAACCACAGCATTGTGGAGACTCGTAACCGCTCCACTGCGCCTTGGATTACTGTCCTATCTCCTCCAAAATCTGACCGGAATTTCTGAGAAATGAGAAAAATCCAGTCATCCAGGCAAGAGAAAAGAGAGACGGAATAACCTCAACAGATTGGAAGGCATCTTCAAAAATGCCTCAAAGACAAAAAATGGAAACTACAGATAGCCTCTATTTATATTCCTTGGGCTGGTTTCACCCCCATAGCAGGGCCGGTGATAGGAAGAGCCTTTCAGCAGTTCAGTTACACGGGAGGGGGAGAAAAAAAAGAAAAAGTGGCCAAAAGGTATTTTGCAAAGGCTAAAACGGGTCTTTAAGCCACTCCTGCTGTGGGTTGGGATTTGCAGGGGGGAGAAAAGGGGGTTGCTGCCCCCCCAGCTGGGAGCACACAGCTCACTGTGCTCTCCAGAAAACACACAGCAATGGGGAAAGCAGGAAAAAAATACTCATTATATAAGAAAGCAAGATGTGCTAGTGCGCACTGGAGGGGTTTTCTGCAGGCTGTTGTTCAGGAGATTTTTATTTCTGTCTCCAAAGCGATGCCTATAAATTCCTCACCCTTCCTTCTTTAGTTATGGGGTGGGGGGTCTTTTATTGCAGAACGTCTTCAGCATTCTTCAAGAGGGAAAAGAATGGAGGAAAGTGACGGCAAAAATTGGGAATAAAGCGCAGAAGCCATGCGTGAGCGGCCCCCCTCGCCAAGGCGCTCTGCCTTCTGTTGCTGCTGCAGTCGAACCGAGGCGACTCGCAGCCCTTCCCTACCCCGAGACGCAGGACACTCGAGAAACTGCATTTGCACTTTCCTCCTTCTGCTACAATCCATCTGTGGAAAAAATGAAGACTTTGGTTTCTTTGTCATTTTCCTGTCACCACTCACAGGGGCTTGATCACTAACAGAAAGGGAAAAAAATGTATATAATAAAAGATAACAACCACAGGAGGAAAATTTACTGCCAGGAAGCAGCAGAGGAAGCAGAGGGCAAGTGGTGACTTCACTCGCTTTGGTAGTGAAACCAAAGTGAAATGAGGAAACCGAATCCCATGATGGCACCTTCTTAGGGCAGCAAGTGGGGCCAGTGTCCCACAGCCAGGACAGGGATCTCCTCGGGCCCTGATGGGTCTCGGGGGCTGGAGGCAGATGGGAAGAGCCAGGGATTGTCACTCCCTGCTCTGCTGGAGTGGGCCCAGCCCAGGAGGAGATGCCCCCAAAGGGATGTCCTGGGGGGCTCCACTTAGCCACAAGATGCCCCAGGGAGCCGGTGTAACGGGGACCAGACGGGATCTTTGCCACTCAGGTTTCCACACACTGCTCGACTGCCTTGCTTCTCACAGCACAAAGCCGCCGGCTTCGTTCCCAAAACGAGCGCCTCCTCAACCACCAACAGGTACCAAAGCTCCCGACGAGGCTGCAAGAGCAGAACCCTCCTAGCAAGCACCCCGCTCTCCTCGGCCACGTCCGCGAGGACGGCCCGGAGGTGCCAGCTTGCAGGGACAAAGCGGAGGCCGGGCTGCAGGGCACCCCAAGCGAGCGTGGCTGCACAGCGCTCTGCGCCACCAGCCCAGCCGGGCCGTGTTTCCAGGCCTCCCTCGCTCTCCCCGCCGCGACTCAGCTCCGGCCATGGGGGCTCTCGGTGAATCCATTAGTTCCTGCGACACTCTGCTACTCTGGAAGTCCCGGCTCTGGGACGCAGGCTGCCGAGGGCCCCGGAGGCCTCCTTCAGCTGAGCTGCAGGATGTCTAAGGAAATCATCATCTGCCGTACTTGGAGACAGAGGGGTGTCTTTAACCACAGAAATCACCATCCAGCAGGTCACAGAGCTCCAACAAGATGCAGCGAACACAGATTAAGGGAGTCCCCTCCGCTGGTGGGGACACCAGACTCTGCTCCCGCCCAGCATCAGCCCTTCCAAAGGGCCAGCACGGGTGCCAGTCCTCACGCCATCCCTGTCCTCTGCAGGGTAATAACGGAAAGGAAACCTCACGCGGGCACTCGCAGAAGAGGAAGGAAGCCGAGCATCTGCCTCCAACTCCCGTGCTGAACAGGGCAAGGGGGGGTTGTTCCCACTTCTTGTGGGCGCCCGTCAGCGACCGCCAGCTCCGATGGGGGTTTCGGAGGCGCTGCCGCTCCCCATCCGCACGCCCAGCCCTGGGCTATGCAGCGGGTAAGAGCTGCCCACCTCACGGGAGCGGGACTTTGGGAACGGGGGTCACCCCCTCCACCTCCCCCCCCTCAAGGTCTGCAGCCAACCCATTCGTGTCGGGAAGTGACGGGGATGATGAACCCTGCAGGAGACACCAGCCAAAGCCCCGCACAGCAAAGCGGCTCGTGAGAGGCCAAGCTGCAGCGCCACGTTCCCCGTGTACACTGCCCCCAGGAGCGCTGCTGCTGGCTGCCCACCCCGCGTCAACGCCCACCCCAACACCTCGCTCCTCCCCGCACGCTCAGCCCGCTGCCCGGAGACGCGCTCACTTCCCCTGGCAGGAAACCCCCAAATCCCGGCGCTCGGAGGCGTCAGCCGGTCACGCTGCCGCCCGGTGTTGGCCGGCTCGTCCCATGTGCCCAACCCGCTGTTATCCAGCCGGGAGCTGCCGGGCCGCTGGCAGGGAGCCAAGGGGGAGCGGGAAGAGCCTCACTCTGCCACCCCCAGCCACCACGTCTGCCTGCTCCTGCCTGGTTTGGGGATGCAAACATCATCTCGGAGGACCTCAGCCAGCACTGGGCATGTGCCACCAGAGGGGGCTGCAAGCCACCACGGCAGGCCCCAAATCCTCCCTGTCTGGCTCCGAGTTACTCATCCTTGGACAGCGTATGCCTTCGGGAAGCACCGTGGAAAAAACCTGCTGGGGCTGCCCCGCTATGAAATGGACTTAAAAAAAAAAAAAAAAGGATAAAAGCTGCTTTTAACGGCCCACAGGGACTCGCTGGGGCTTCATTTACACCCAGTTGCTTGTTCCCTGCTGGTGGGGAGGGACGGACGACAGGCGGACGCTGCAGCGTCGGCAGATACTCCAGCGGGCCCTAAGACGGGTTTTAGGAATGTAAACGTTACGCTTTGCGAGGGAGACGCTTTAGCCTAATAAGGCAAAACGAAGCGCCAGAGGAGGAAGCGGTTGTGCAGATCCCCCTCCGGCAGCCGCGGCGCCAAGGGCGGCTCCGCGCGGCCCCCGAAACCCCGAAGCCCCCACTCACAAACCCACCAAGACCACGCTGGGCACAGCCGCCCCTCGGGCATCTCCTGCAGGCCCCTTCCTGGGGACCCAGCACTGGTGTCACGAAGCACCGTGGTGACCGTGCGCACAAGAGGAGAAGGAGGAGGAGGAAGGCTCTTACTTGCAGTCGTGCTTTTCGATCTCGAAGTGCGGGTTGAAGTTGAGGATGATCTTCTGGCTGGGCTCAGGCGCGTAGATGACCCACTCACAGTTCTGGTGGGACGGGTAGTCCTGTGGGTAGCCCGGCGAGGTGATGTAGCCAGCGTCCTTGGAGTTGAGGCGGCCGCCGCACGGCTGAGCTGCGGAAACAGAGCAGGGCTTGAGAGCGGCCCCAGGGCGCTCGCTGGGCCCCACAGCCCCGGCCCCGCCGCGGGATCCGGCCGCTTGACCGCACGAACGCTGCAAATCAGATTTATTATTGCATTTCTCGTGGGGAGCAAGGGCTGCATTGATGGCGCTCTCCCAGGCCCAACAAAGCCCCTTGCTCAGCAAGGGGACCGTCGCGTGCCTTCCACATCCCACACAGGGCTGCCTCCGGAGGATGGCAGCGTCCCCAGCAAAACGGGCCAAAAAACGGCAAAAGCCCACCCATCCCCCACCAAGGGCTCAGGGTGGTCCTGGTGGCCCCACCGCTGCTTTGGGGACGGGCTTCTCCCTGCCCACCGACAAGCAAGAGGGCAGCACGTGGGCAGAGACACGTGTTTGGCGCCTCCAGGATGCCCCTGATCCCGGCCCAGTCGGGGCCGACGCGAGGAGCAGGGCAGGACCTCCCTGCTGCTCTGCCTATTGGAAAGGGGAGGAAAAACATGAGGGGGAAAAAAAGGGCACTGAATAACCCCCTGCTGCGCATGGGCTCCCGCAGGCAGCGACAGCCCCGCGCAGGAGGAGCATCCGCAGGGATGGCACTTCCTGTGGCCCAGAGAGCCCCGGCCCCCAACAGCTTTTGGGCCCCCTCGCACATTCACTCGTGAAAAATCACTCTATTTCACCACGGCAAAGGCAGCGCTGCAGTCTGCCCCTTTTCCTTAAAACAATTCCGCAAGAATCCTGAAGAACGGGAGGGGGAAAAAAAAACCCAAAGCAATCGCAAGGCAGCCACAGAAAGGCTGGGAACACCAGAGGAACATCTGGTTTTGCTCCACAGCAGAGCTTGCTCAACACACAGGCATCTGCCGCGGCGCCTTTTTGCGCAAGCCGCTTCCCTGCTCCGCATTTGCCCACACACGCGTCCGCGGGGGTCCGGCCGGGAGCGCAACGGAGCCTCACGTGGAAGGCGGGAATTCACGGGCTTGTTGACACGGGCGTACAAATAGACGTGTAATTCACACTTCACTCCTGTACGCGCGTTCGCACCTTCTCGTGAGAAATTCGCACCTCGTTTGCACACATGTCCACCCCCTCCAGCAAAGAGAAATATTCAAGCTGCAGATTATTTTTCTTGGAAAGGGCGAAGCCTCCAAGCAATGAAAATACAGTCAATCCATCCACACCTCGTCATCCCCTCCCTGTCTCCCCGGCTTTCGCACACATGCTACCCGCTAGGCTGATACCACCAACATCACCCAGCATCGGAGCTGCTAGTCCCGGCCTTGCTTGGGCTGCACCGAGGCCCCCCGAGCTGCCACGCTGGGAGCCACGTGCCGCGCGGAACCGGAGCTGCTTCCTCCACGCAAGCCCGTCAGCACCTCGGGGTATCCACAGGTGGGACATTGCTGGCAGTGCTGGTGCCCGTGGGACATCCCACGTGCCAGCCAGGGCAACCTGGTTCACAGGTCATGCATCTCCTTGTCCCCCATGACGCTTCGGGCCTATGGGACCAGCAAGTGACCTCACGGGGGCACCAACCACCTTCTGCAGGTGCTTACATGCTACCACCAGACCTGTTCCCCTCTCCACAAGTTGCTCCAAGGGCTGCTCCCGTGGCGTGCCACAGAGTGCCAGATACCAGGGCTTCCCAAGGCTATCCAAAGAGGCCAGACAACCAGCACCTTTGCAGATGTGCTGTTGGGGTGTTTCCCCCCCTACCTACGGACCTACAGATATCGAGCAGAAAAAACACCTACAAATGGAAATCCTCCTTTTCAGCCAACTGCATGGAACTAGCAGAAATAATAAAATATATATATATATAAGTGTGCGGCATGGCTCCTGCCCAGGCTGCGTGCATCAGGAGCGAGACGTGCTCCGAAGCTAATGGGCTCCGGCAGCTTTTGCCAGCCCTGAACTCACTTAATAAAATTAAAGCCTGAAGCTGTGGCCAAGCAAGGCACGCGGGACACCCCGCGGCTCGGCGAGCGGAGCGCCGGGGTCGGGAAGGTGGCGGAGGCTCCGGCGGAGCGGGCGCCCGGGGATCCCCGGGAGGGCCGGGAAGGGCGCAGCGGATGCCGCTCGGCCGCCAGGCAGGGAGACGGGCGGCACGGAGGGAGGTAACGCGATTAGGGACTCGGCTCCGGTCGCGGAGCACACGTGCCGCAAGGTCCCCAAAAGCCCACACAACACCCGCGCCGGCCAGGCAAAGCTCACCGAGTTCCCTAGGTTTGGTTAGGGGCAGATTTGCTGGAAAATGTGGTGCTTAAACACTGGTTTTGTGGTGCGAGGCCGCCTGGCTCAGAGCGCCCCACAGCCATCAGGAAAGGGGCCCGGGACGGGCTGCCGGGGCAGCCGTGCGAGGGGAGGCCGAGAGCGGCGCTTCACCCAGGAGCTCTCGCAAGAACAGACCCCTCACGGCTATCCCTAAATACCCGAGTGCGTGAGGGAAGGAGAGCAAGTACGAGGTGGGAACTCGCCCTTCCTTTGCCACGATAACGTGCGGAGGAATCAAACGGCAGTCGGAAATGGAGAGCAGCTCGTGTTTCCTCATGGAAAAGGAGAGGGCCAAACCTCGCGAGCAAATCCGGGTAGTTTGCTCAAAAATAATAATAAAAAAAAATTAAAAAAGAAGAGAAAGAAAAAAATGAAACAAAAATCCACCAGACTTCAGCCAAGAACAACGGCAGATCTTCCACAAGCTAGCACCAGTTTGCACCACTGAGGCTGTGGCCACTTTGACCTATTCATGTGGTATTTTGGGTCTTGTCCCCCCGCAGCTCCCTCGCACCTTTGTGCAGTTTCCTGTCCCGCAGTCCCAATAGCACAACTGACCCCACCGCACCAATACACAGCGAGAGGCTACAGGGAGCCCCTGGAGAGCTTCAGCCCCAACAGTCAGTGTCCGATGCCTCCAAAACACCCATCAACGCTGCTGCTCTTGCAGCTATTCCATGAACGGGGCAGAGCGTGTCCCGCCTGCCCAGCTCCCTCCCGCCTCGTGCTCGCCTTCCCCAGCGGCCCCTCCGACGCCGTGGCACAACGGGCATGAGCGGAGCCCTTCAGAGCGCGCCCCGACACCGGGGCTCCGCCGTTCGCTTTTCCCCCAGCGCAGCTGGCTTGTCAGAGGTCGTATAATTTGGCAGCCATCCCAGCGCTTAAAAATTAATTTTTCCTTATTAATACAGCTGGGGGTCCCACAGGATGGGCTCCCGGCCTTATCTGGGCCTGGCAGCTTCCTCACCCCCGCGGGGGACACTTTCCCCTCCCAGGTTACCCAGGGCACGAGGCCGCCCGTCCCGCGGCCGCCAGCTGCTCGGTGCAGCAGGACGCAGCTCGCTGTGCTGAGCATGCAGCGAGGGCTGCAGGGGCAAAGAGGCAGGAAGAGAAGGTCAGGAACCCCCAAATCCAGCATCCAGACCCGGGTAAGGGCCCCCAACTGCTGCCTCCCTGTGAGCACCGCGTTCCTGGGCTCAAAGGGCTTTTGCTCACAGCAAGAGAGCAGCGAGCGGCACCGCAGGCCAGAGGCGTCACGGCGGTGGCTGGCACGGGCAGGCGGGCACGGCCGCACGCATGCGGCTGGCCCCGTGTGTTTGGGTCCCCCTCGCTGTATCCGCTAAGTCACTACTGCGAACGGCAGCTCAGAAGGCTGCAAGAGGGAGCTGCAGGGACACCGC